AATGTCAGCGTTCAACGTTGATTCAATGTTTCTGGCTGACATTGATTCAATGTTGTTTCAATCATTCTGTGCTATCTGGGTATTTAACCGAACTGAAGCAGAGGGAGAACACAGAACAAAATGATTGCTCAACTTGGAACAGAGAAACAAATAGATCAATGGAAACACAATTAAACACACAAAAACACTAAAGACAAAACTAAACAGCAACAAGGTGCTTGTGCTGTCTGTTTTTTTTCCTCCTTCTGAGAAGGCAGAATGTTTACAACGATTTTGTTAAGCTCTGAGCTCAGACTAATTTAGCTGAATTCTGATACCTTAAATCTGGAACAGAGCTTCCCAGAATTGGCTTTCAAAGCATTTTGAGCAAAGAAGGTGGTTTTACCTGACAATCTCCTCCATGCTCCCACAGCTTTCTGTCTTTGATCCCTCTGTCGCTCCCCTGTTTTTTGCCGTCTCCTGTCTGATCAGGCTTCTACTAAAAGCCATTTCTCACCCATTCTCTTCATCTCATCCATTTGCTAGCTTCCAATGCTCTGTGCGTATCATGTAGACTGACATTTAAATACTCCCCATCCATCTTTCCTCTTGCTCTTTGCTTAAAAGACTTTTTGGTGAACTCCATTTCAGGAAATTTATAGCTCTGACATGTTGGCTACATTTCTTAGCAATATACACAGTGTTGCTCAGCAAAACCTCTGATAGAGTTATAGCAAATAATGTAATAGACTATGCACTTCATCCATCCATTTTCTTTACACCCTTGTCCCTTGGTGGGGTTGGGAGGGTTGCTGGTGCCCATCTCCAGCTAACATTCCAGGTGAGGGGTGGGGTACACCCTGGACAGGTTGCCAGTCTGTTGCAGGGCAACACAGAGACAAACAACCATGCACACACACACAGCTAGGGGCAATTTGGAGAGGCCAATTAACCTGACATGTTTTTGGACTGTGGGAGGAAACCAGAGTACCTGGAGAAAACCCATGCATACACAGGGAGAACATGCAAACTCCATGCAGAAAGACCAGGGCTGAGAATTGAACCCAGAACCTTCTTGCTGCAAGGCAACAGCTCTACCAACTGTGCCACTGTGCAGCCCGTGACTATGCACTTCAATTGCCCCTTTTTATTTCAGATCATGAAATGGATTTAGATGTCAGACCTGAGGAAATGCAAAATGCAGTTATAAAAGGTACCCAAGTCAACCTGGCTCAGTTTAAAAAAATAATCATTTTCCACTTAAAATAATAAATTAACCAATCACAAAAGCTGAGTTCAATATTATTAGACATAATTTACGGTCTGAATCAAGAAATCATTAAAGACTTGCTGGCAATAGAAACATAGATACTGTGAAATTATTGTCTTTCCTCTGATGAACTATGCCATGTGTGAACATTTATGTTCAATCTTCTTTGTAGTATGAATAAACAATCAGTTGATTGGCATCTTACTTAACAAAAGTAGATTTTTTTTACCTTAATGAAGGAATTTTTTACTCATCTGAAACATTTTGGTGACAAAAAAAGCGAAACTAGAAGAAACATTTTTAACAGCAGTTTTTTATTTGTTTTATGCAAAGACTAAAGAAGAACATCTACAAAAAAATACATGTTAAAAGAAGTTACAAAAGAATTATTTTTGAACGGTACAAAGTGCATTTAGCTTACTTACTAATAGCCTTTTGGCAGTAATTAAAAAATAACTTAATTGTTAGATGTTATCTAAATCACTGTTGTTTTTTTCCCATGAAACTCCTTTACACCGGAAAGCCATCAGCTGAAGATCAGTGTAATTGCTATGCTGAGCAGAGTTCTCATGTGTCGCATCAAGAGTATTTGCATACTGAAACAGCTAGATTTCCCCCTGGCATGATTAGTCAGTAAGCTGTAGCTGCGGCGCCGCCACAAAGAGACAGGAAGCATCAGTCCAATGGAGGTAGTGACTCTTGCAACATAAGCTCATCTGTTTCTCTCTCTTTTTTTCTGTTCCTTATGAGCTGAATCAAAGCGCTTAAGGTTAAAGATTAATTTACCAGTCTGCCTTAATTTGAATATTTGAATGTCTCAGGAAAATTGTTGTGAATATTATAAAAATAACTTTAGCATGACGAGCAGAAAGCATGGCTTTCCAACCTCTGCTTTAGACACAAGTCAAATAAATGTGCAGATTTGTGGAGAAGCAAAATCCAACAGAGGCTTGTTAACAGAGACACAACAGCCAATCAACAGAGGACAGACTTAAACCATCTGATCTGTTATCTCTTTTTATAAAAGGAGAAACCATCACAGTTAGTCACAGTGGACTTCCTAACAAACACATATCACTCTGTTATACACATGATAAATAAAACCGCTCATTAGTTTCACTCTGGATACATGACCTGATGTTGAGAGAACATGTTTCAAGAAGAGAACTCTTCATTTTGTTCTGGTATCAAAACGTGTGATGATATTTGACAACAAGGAGTCAGAATACAATATTTAATAATATTTCCATAGAGGAGTAAATACTGATGCAAGTGTAGATTTGAATATTCAAATGTGCTTAAAC